TCAACTGGGTTCGGTGAAGCCTAAAGCCCGCCCTGGAGGAGCAGACCTAGCTCCCAAGTCATTCCACCTTTGGGTACTCTTCTTTAACCCAGGGTATTCTTTATACTTTTCCTTTATCTCCTGTTTTTAGGCTATCTCCCCTACAAAAGCTTAATAATTCTTTATTCCTCTCTTTAGTCTTTTAACCCCACAATAACTTATACACTATGCCAACCTGTACTGTTGAATCCTCATTTTCAACACTAAGGGCTAGGACAAATCAACTAATTTGAAAATATAAATGCAATTATTCACCATATTGAAGACTTAGAAATAACAGCCCTTGATATTAGAATTTGTAATTTATACTAGCTTTATTTTAATAAATAGCAAAAGCTTAAGACACATATAACATATACTTGGATATACATTTAAAAATTAATAAAAATATAGATTTAAAAATAATTCTACACACCAAATGTAAGCCTCACATAAACTATGGATTTGAAGTGATTATGATGCATCAGTGTAGGCCCTTTCTCAGTAGCAAATGTACCATTGTGGTGAGTGATGGTTATCATGGGAGAAGCTCTGCATGTGTAGTGAGGGAGAACATGGGAAGTCTCAGTATCTATTTTAATTTTGTTGTGAATGTGAAGCTGTACTCAAAATAGTATCATAAGAAATAATTCTAAGAAAATTATTGTATAGTTTTTAAATAAATTGAAAATATGCTCTTTACAGATTAGCATTATATCAACTTTAGATAAGCCGAAGTACCTGGTGCTTACAAACATATTTTTTTCTTTCAAAACAGGATTCAGAAAAGAGCTGTTGTGTGGAAAACAAAACAAATGCACAATTCTTCACCGTCCCTGAAGATACTGAGAACCTGAAATACAGAGAATAATATATCATTAATCTGCTAGTACATAACCTAATATTTGACGAATAAATAATTTACTTAGACTAGTACTTATATTCTATATCTAAGTAGTCCTTGTATACTTTTTGTATGGTAATACTTAAATAATGGTCTTCATGTAATTGTTCAATATTGCTTTTTCTTTCTAAGATTCATTACTTCAAGGCAAAACATATAAGCATTCTCATGAAACTTACTGTTTGGAAGAGAAAGTTGAGCCATTTCGCCACAGCAACAAACTGTTATTGGTTCCATTTGAGAGTCCAAGCCATGAAAGGGGACTGAAGGTTTTCAATAAATTCTAAGTGAAAGCAAAGTTCATGAGTAGTCAAATAAAAGCTTTTATACTAACATGAATTTTTAATGGAATATAGAGTAAATTTTTTCTATTTTATATGGTCTCAATTTACATTATATACTGACACACTGGACACATTAGGAACATGTATTAGTATGACCATGTGAAGATGAAAATTGCCGCAAATAATTTCAAGTCTGCAGCAAATGATCAAAGACTAATAATAACTTGTGATGTATTTATTATTGCGAAAGCTCCTAGAAATTCAAGTAAGAATGGTACAAATCTGTAGTCTTCTTGCCTAGGACTGCTCCTGTGTTGCCCCCCACCCCCACCTCAGCTCAGTGAATAAGAAGAGCTGTAATTTTTACAGTTTGGAGAAGGCTGCAAAAATCAACACAGTTGTTGCCACAGGGGCAGACTTGATGAGCAGTAGGTATAGTGGTGCTAACTTGCCCACTACTTTTTCAGCTCAAAGCACTAAATTTACAACATTAAAAAGAGAAAAACCCACACTTTTTCTTGTCCGAGCTTGTAGTCTCCTGTGTGTCCACACAGTGCCAGCCACAAATATAATGGAGAGGAAATAAAAGGGAGAGAATACATAGATGAGATGACAGTAGCTCTGTACACACTGGTGAAACAAATGTGTACTTGTGCAGAGGAGAGAAAAATGGTCCCAGTAAAAACAAAAGTCAAAGGGGACTTGAAAGCTAATTGCAAAGTTATGAGCACTCCTTAGTACACACACACATGCACAAGTACATCAAATAACAGAGGGTGGAAGCCCTATTGACTGGAGGTATTTGAACACATTAAAAACATATAATCATTGGTTGCCAAATAAGTTACGCATGCACAAGGGGAAGCCCTAGGAAGCCAGGCTAACAATAAACAATAAACAATAAGAATTTTAAAAGCTGAGAAGACATATAGGCAAGCACACTCTAAAGAAAAGATTCTGCAGTAAAAGTTTTACAAGTTTCAAAAATAATAAATCTAAGAAAAAAGAAACAGAATCCATCTTTACTACATGATATTATCAAAAATGTCTAATCATAAAAGATTAGAAAACATACAAAAAAACTTTTCTCTACTCAGGGAAAAGAATCAGTCAAAGAATCTTTTATTGAGATAAGGTGTTAGATTTATTAGAAAAAATATTTTTGAATAATTACTATAACTATATGTTGAAATAACTATATTTGAATATGATGGCAGTGACACAACATGAACCAAATGGAGAAATAAAAACCACATGAATGAACAATAGAAGTTGTGAATTGAAAAACATTACCTGAAATACAAAGTTTATTAAATTTACATTAAATTTGAGACACAGAGAGAGAATTAATGAAATTAAGATGGTGTTTAAAAAATTATTTATCTCAAAAAATAGAGAGAAAAAAAGAGAAAAATAAGCAGATTCTCAGAGACCTTTGAAGCAATATCAAAAAAACTAGCATAGGTGTAAATATACACTGAGAATAAGAAGACAGACAGAGACAGGGAAACAATTTTAGAGATAATGATTAAACAACTTTTTACATTTAATTTTTAAAATATTGTTGGCTTACGAAGCTCAGCAAACTACAAATAGAATCAGCACATAGAAATCCACTTCTCAAAACATTATAATCAAATGACTAAAAAACATTGAAGACACAGACAAAGACATAATCCTGAGGAAAATGCAGGAGTATGATATAGCTGGATTCAGTGTGAAAATGAGGGAATGGGGGAGATTTCCCACCTCCAGCAGCACTTACACCACATTATCTTACACAGAATCCACATGTGTTCTGAACACTATTCCAGGTGAGGGAGCTGAGTAGCCAATAGGGGTATATAGAAAATCTATGTGTATTGACTCAATTTTGCTGTAAACCTAAACTGCTCTAAGAAAATCAAGTCTGTGTCTTTTTTTTTAATTGATAATGGAGAATTTTATCTTAACATTTTTACCACAATATAAAATGTAAAATAGAAAGCAAACAAACAAAAAAAGAGGTAACCTTGAAATAAGCTAAAGAAACCTTACCCATTACATATAGGAAAATAACAAGGTGATTCATAGATGAGTTCTTTTCAGAAGTAATGAAGAATAGTAAGCAGGGAGCTACATATTCAACAGCTCAAAGTATCGGGGGTGGGGGGGGACAACAAAACTTATCAAACAAGAATTCTAAATTCAGCAAAACAGTTCTTCAAAAAGAAGTTGCATTAAGGACCTTACACACACATAAAAACAGAGAATTTCTTGTTGGCTGACCTGCCCTATAAAATGTTCTCCAAGCTAAAAGTAAATGGCACTGGATGGTAACTCATATGAAGGAAGAGCAGTGGAAATGGTAAATATGTGGGAAAACTTAAGCATCTGTGTTTCTGAATCTCTCGTGATTACTTTTAAAACATACTATTTAAGGCAATAATTATAACACAATATGGTTGGGTCTATATCATACATGGATGCAACTTTGTGCTGCTACATGAGATACTTCTTCAGGGGTGGGAGTAGAAAACCTTATTTGTTAGCATTTGTTTATTTCTGTGGTGCAAAAATACCTAGAATGATTCATTTCCAGTCATCCTTGTGTAAATCATGAATGCCGGGTCACAAAGGGTGTGTGTATTATTGTTGTTTGTTCACAAACCAGTGCTGGCTGGCTCGCTCGGTACAACATTGTTAGATGAAATAGTAAGACCCCAACCCAGAGGGATGTGTTCAACCTAATAGTAACCAGGAAAATACCTGGTAATGTCATTATGATAGTTTTCTATAATGATAAAAAATTATAACATTAAAATTCCTGATAGCACTAAGTTTAAATCAAAAACCTATTTGGTAAAATATGTATTTACTCAATAAACCAAAATAAATGCTGGACTAATTAATAAATTTGACATACACATACATTTATGACCCTGCAATTTTCTTCTGAAACATAGAAGATATTATGTTATAATTACACACATATAAAATTATAATAAAATTTTATTTATAAACTATACAAATATTGTATTTATATTATAGAAATACAATCTATTCTGCATAACATGTATATAAAATATACAAATTTTAAATGCATTATACAATTTGGAAAAAAGATGTCTGCAAGGATTTTCATAAAATATTATTCATGATACCGACATATAGACAACTATATTCTGAATAGTATAGATTAAAAATGTCATGTACATACAATACAGCAGCAAAAATTAACTAAAGATAAATGCAATAGTATGGATGAACTGCAAAAATATCATATGGGAATGAAAGGAGACACATAAAATGCATACTGAATGATCCCTATTACATGAAGCTTAAATTTAAGCAAAGATAATTTGTAATATTAAAAATTAGAATAGTGTTTGAGTGAGAGAGGAGAAAAAGTTGTGAGAGAATACACAAGAGGGGCTATTGTGGACTGGAAACTTCTATTTCATGATCTGATTTGTAATTACATGGGTTCTTTCAGTTTATATCCATCTGAACAATCATGATATATTTAGTTTCCTTGATATAATTTAAAATTGTAGGGCAAATTAAATAGCAAAAGTTGTTTTAGACAAAAAGCATTTATACTCCATAGTTGTCTATGGAAAAGTAAGAACTGGAAATTATTAAATGTGCATCAATGGCATGAAATATAAATAAAATATTAAAGAGTTAAACAATAGAATATTTACACACTTTAAAATTACTACAAATGTATACAAAAATATAAATGAATGTTTTAAATATAGTGTAGACCAAAATAATCTTTAATAAAATGTTGAAAACATTTAAAATCTTACCATTTCTTCTTCATTATCTATATAAAGCAGATTAGAATTCTCGGAAGCACAGGCCATCTGACTCTCAGTCCATACTTTTTGTTCAGTACTAATGTAATAGCAATTGTTGGAATATGTAAACCACTTGTTTGGACCACAACCACACTGATATGCTGAAAATCATTATTTAAAAAAAAATTGTAATTAAAAAAGAAATTTACTTATTTGCATAATTATAAACATATATGTGCATAATATTGCTATGCACTCTCACAGGCTGGTACATATAAAACAAAACACAATCACACACACTCACAAGGGTCAGCCTCTCACCCCCTAATTTATGTGCCCAAGTAAAGAAAACACACAAACATAAATATCCATTCTAACACATGTCATGAAAGTTAATGAACAAAACTCCATTTTTAGAATAGCAAAATTATTTCTCTCATCGTATAGCAGGAGAAAATGTAAGCTACTAGGCAGAAGGTGTATGGTGATTTAAAATGATCATTTCTTCATATTATTACATAAAAAGAAGCATTCTCCTAAAATTATTACTTATGAACATTTATTGTCCAATATGTAATTTATATATTTAAAAAAACTCTATTGTTATTTTTGCCTCCCCTGAGTTACAGAAAAACTATAAACTGTACTAATATCAGAGCTTTGAAAATATTCTGTACCTTTCTGGATCCCTGTTGTCAAGGGGGAATTATTCTGCTCTGATATTACAGTAGCTAGAAAAAAGAAGCAATTCTTATTTAAAAATTAATTTTGATGTAAATAAATCATAACACTTTTTTTCTTACTTTGAAATTTGATGTAATGTTTAGGATTAGAATAATCTGAAATAAAATTAAATTAACAAGAAACATTAATGAATTAATGAAGATCTGAAGAAATATATTTCAAATGCCTAAAGGATCAAACTGCATTACAGTATTTGATTTAACCAATCTAAAGAATTAGTATATATTTCTTGATAAGGCCTTTCAGTCTCCTAAAGCATGTCTTTAAGTTATGAAATCAGAAATTATATGTATATATGTACATATATTTGTAAAATGCTCTCTACAATCATTCTGATATTTAATCTTTGACAAATTCATCAATCTTTTTACATTTCATCTAACTGCATATGTTAAAATTAGATGCCTGTTCCATAATATTATGAAATATTTAAAAGGTACTGGCAATCAATCACTAAAGTGAAAAGTTCCCTTATAATCTTTCAAAAATTTACTTACAGGGAATAACAGCTATCGTTACCACAGAAGACAGCAAGACAAGGCAGATGAGTGCCAGGACCCCAGCAATGAGCTTCTCTGGAGGTGATGAAAAATCTACAGGGAGAGAAAGGGAAACACTGAGGAAGTGAGATGGAGATAATTGTTTAGACAGTTTACACACAGGGAACCCCCTCATGCACAGGGAATCATACACATAAACTTGGACCCCAAGCCCATATCTACCATTACAATCTTCCTCTCAGACTATACCATTACATTGTCAGGGAATACAATGCTCCATGAGTTGTTGATCACACATTACAATGACACCTGAGTAAAATTAGTCCTCAGATGTCATATTAGAATACTGTATTCCAACTTCAAGCTCTGATCCCCACCAATAAAATATGTTTCTCCACATATTCCCTACTGCTTCCCCACAATTCTGCACCCCAACTGCACATCCTAGAACAGTGATACTGTGTATGTATTAAATATTTTACCTTTGCAGTGGTAGTTCTTCTCACTCCCTTGAAGATCCTGTGTAGTGTTTTGAAGATTTAATTCTGCATAGGTTATTTCCTGCTCAGTCACTGAAATGGAGCTCTTAGTGTCCTTAGGTTTTGTATGCTGTCTCCTGGAGCCCTTAGCCAGATTCAGTTCTGCATAGGTTACCCTTTGGTTACTCATCTCTGCAGCTGAGTGGTGTCTGAGACTGTGTCTAAGGTAAGTGTACTTAAGAATGAATAGTATATGCAATGACGAGATCCCCCGCAGTAAAAGTGGGTGGGGTAGAGGGTGAAGTGAGCTCATTTCCTAGTCGAAGAATCTGAAGTTTTAAACACTTTAGAACTTTAAATAAGTATCTCATGGTTACATATATTTTTAAGATATTCTATATTTGACTATATATTTTTGGTTGGAACAATGAAAAATGATAAATTCATGAGGAATAAAGAAGTTCATAAATAAAAATATCTTCAATTTAAGTCAGATAACAGAGAAATATTTTAAGACCATTAAAATGTCTGTATTAAAATTCTGTATTAGAAACAAGTGACACAATATTTATGATAATTGTGAAACACAATAAGGTTAAAGACTGAGCATTCAAAGATGGGGAATTAGTCGTGTTGGCATACACACTATTTCCCTGTAGTAAATTAATTTCATTTAGTGACTTCCATTTATTTATTAAAGGGAATTAGTTGTTATCATATGATCTTTTCTTTTGAATGATTGTGAAGTTATGAGAAATTATGACAATTTTAAAGAAATATTTCATCACCTTATATTTGATCCTGCAGAATTGTATACTTAAAACTTATGAGGCTTTAGTAACTATTGTCACCCCAATAAACTTTAATAAAAAAATTTTTTTCATATGTTGAAAACTGTTACAGATACACTAAACTTATTCAAAACCTAAAAATTTATGACAGCAAAACAAAATTGTTAAAATACTTATGTAACACCATCAATTGGCATTGATTTAAAGACATAAAAATATAAAATGAAAAATACCTGTGTAAATTATTTATAGAAGAACACTGTTGTTTTAAACTTCCAAATAGTTCCTATGGCATTCAAAGTCAATTAGGGTAGCTTTAGTTTTGTAAGCAAAGTAATGAATCAAATCATGTAATTGAATAACTCCATCAATGGGCTCTGAGTCAGTGAATTCTAGAATTAAATCTGGCTCAAATTTTATAATATATGACCTTTAAATCCTTGCTTAGTGTCTAGCCACCTAGATTACTAATCAAAAGTGGGAATAAAAATTTGCAGATGCAATGCATGTAAAACACTTCATATTTGTTCTGGCTTTATAAACTCTCAATAATATGGTAGTTATGCTAATTATTATTTTAGCACATTTAACATTCATTATTTCTCATTTATGTCAGATAGATTTTGTAACATAATTCATTAGACAAGCGTCTCTTTATCAGTGTGATGTCTTCTCTTGCAATGTTTCATTTAATTTTTTAAAAACCTTTTCTTTGCTTATAATTAAGCTTAAATATGCATTTTACAGGAGCTACCTCATCTGTATTTTTATTAAAAGCCAACTACTTTTATGTAATCTAAGTAAGTGTATGAGAAATTATGTTTAACCTTCACAATTCAAAGAATTCATTTTAAGAATCTATTTTTAAAGGCTGGCTTAAATATCAAATATATAATTATATCTATATTAATTGCAAGATTCCAAATATAACTGTTCCTTGTCATTATTCTTA